GAGCCTGCCTTCCGGTCCGGATAGCAGCCTGCCTCCAGCCCAACAGGGAGCCTGCCTTCCGGCCTACCCGGGAGCCTGCCTTCCAGCCTACCCGGGAGCCTGCCTCCAGCCTGGTCAGAAGCCTTCCTCCAGCCTAGCGGGAAGCCCACCGTCCAGTCCAGCAGGAGGGAGCTCAAGCGTCCAGCCTGCCAGCCAGGCTGACCTGCCAACCAGGAAGAGTAACGGCCAACAATCAATGTGCCATTAATTATGTGTTTAATTCTGTATTAATGTCGTAGTTAATTAGCCATTAGTATCTTTGACATTTACTATTTGTAAATCGCCTATAAAAGGCAAGTCCGGATTTCAAATGAGATATGCTATTTCTGGCAACTAAATCCTTTTGCAACTTTCCATATTCGTTCTTTCCTAATTCCTGCTTGAGTGTTCTTACATAGCTTTCCTAAAAGCCTACGAGCGTCCTATTTTGGACCAACATTGGTGCTTTCATTGAGAGCCTCTATTGTCTCTCACATCACTTGAGTAGGAATCACATAGGAAGATGGCCGGAATCTCGTCTCGACGTGACCATGTCTCAGTCCACACCGAGGAGTCCACCCGGTCTGGCCGCCAACGTGCCCTCGACAACCATGCACAGGGCAGGAGGGTGGCGCACCAAGGCGACCTTCAGAACCAATTATCAGGCCACAGCGACCTAAGGGCGACGCTCAACCACACCCAAGGTGAGCACTCGGTCCGGAGCCAGCGGGGGGAGGCCGACGTCATGATCCGCGGCTCGACTCAATGCCGGGGTGGAAGCCCTACAGGAGGCAACTCGGGTTCTGGGGACCTTGGCTCAAAATTTCCAACAGATGGTGTCTGGCGGAAATGTGGATGAGCCTGCCCGTCAACAGACGCCAGCGGATGTGGAAGTGTCCTCCAAGCGGCGTGATGAGCGATGCTCTGGATCTAACCAAAACAGGGGGAAGAAGTCTCCCAGCAGCTTAGCCGACCCCATCGGCAGACGGGGAGGGGTGCCCAGCAGGGGCGCCCAATGCAGATGGAAGGAGGTGAGCCCTCTCGCCACTCTCACCGGGCGAGCAGTCGGACTGGCTTCACGGAGAGGCAAAACGTGGGGCCCCGACCTCACGTGCACGGACGACTTGGAGGTGTCGCCGGACATACCCATCCCCGCGCTGGAGCTGTCCGAGGGAACCCACCGCCGGCCGAGGTGGAAGATCTACGATAGTGCCTTGACGAGTTGAGAAGGAGGGTCGTCGGGGGGGGGGGAGCCCTACACGGCCGACCTCCGGATACCCGAACCCTTCACCCGGGCGGTCATGGATGCGCCGTTGCCGAGGGGCTACAAGCCCTGCGCCATTGAAGCATACAAGGGCACTTCTGACCCCCAATATCATGTATCTCGGTACCTTTCCTACATGGTCATGATGGGGTACGAGGACGCCATCTGATGCTGCGGTTTCTCCGCCACTTTGGATGGCCCGGCTCGTGAATGGTATGACTCTCTACCCGACGGGAGTATCATGAATTTTCGTGAGTTGGCTCAGCGCTTTCTCTTGAGGTTCGCGAGCTCCCGAGACGTCAAGAAAAACTTCAGCCACCTGTTCGGCCTAAAACAGGGGAAGAAGGAATCATTGTCGACCTTCCTAGCGAGGTGGAGGGCCGAGTCAGTCAAGGTTCAGGGCCTTGATGACAGGACCGGGGTAGCCATGCTCACAAACTCTATCCGATCGGGTGAGCTTTACAAAGATTTCGTCAAAAGTCCCCCTACCTCGTACGAGGAGGCGCTCGGCCGTGCCGACCGGCAAGCCGAGGCAGAGGACGCCTTGCAGAGGAAAAGAGATGAGGAAGAAGGTGCAAAAGAAGAAAAGAAGAAGGAAGTCGGTTCGGGTGCTGAGAAAGCTGACGGCAAAGCTAGCAACAAAAACAACAAGTACAAAGGTAACAAAAGTAGAGGCAAGGGCAAGGCGGACGTCCCGAGCGGACCGCTACAGCCCGTCAAGCAATTGACTCCACTTGCTCAGCCGGTCGGGGCCATCCTCGACTACGCGGAGGAGCAAGGTTTAGTCGACTTTCCGGAGGAGTGTGATGTGGTGACTGCCAAGCGCAACCACGACCAATATTGTCGATTCCATCAAAGAGCTGGGCATGATACAGATGATTGCGTCATTCTCCGACGGCAAATTGAAGAACTCATTCAGAAAGGATACCTGGGCCAATTCGTTGGCAAACAAGGAGGCATCCCGCAGAAGAGGAGCCTGACGTGGCAGCGGTCCGACCAAGCTACCACATCAAAGGAGACACCGCCTGCCAAGAAGCGAGAGCTCGACGCCTTCTCCGAGGAAGACGATGTCGACCTAGGGAACGGCCCCCGGAAGTACCATCGATGTTCATTTATATTCGGGGGACTCCAGGGAGGCGACACCTCTGGAGAGCGGAAGCAGTGGGCCCGAGCCCTATACGTCGGGGAGATAACCAGGGCTCCCACCGACAAGAGGGTGAAGAGGGACCCCATCTTCTTCACCGATGCAGATTTGCCACCGATGCCTCCGCCGCACAGGGATGCCTTGGTCATCAAGGTCGAAATCAACAACATGATCGTCCACTGAGTCCTGGTGGACAATGGGAGCTCCGTTAACATCATGTACTATGACATCTTCCAGGGTCTCGGGCTGGACCGAAAAGACTTGATCCCGGTGAGAACCCCACTCTCGGGCTTCACCGGGGACTCCATTGAGTTGGAGGGCAGCATAGTCCTCCCCGTGATGGTGGGCTCCAAGCCCTATGTATCCAAGTTAGACGACGAGTTTATCATCGTACGCCTAACTTGTGTGCATAAGATCATTATGGGAAGGCCGACCCTGGAAGACCTCAGATGTGTGATATCCCAGGAGCATCTATGCATGAAGTTTCCCACTCCGAATGGCGTCGGAGTTGCCAGGGGAGATCAGCGAATGGTGAGGAGCTGCTATCTGAAAGCTTGCAAACAAATTGGTCAAAAAGACTTCAGGGTCCACACTATCAACAACAAAGCCATGAAGTATGAGGAGGGTCAGCTCCACGCTGAACCCACCTCAGAAGTGGAGGAGATCCAGATTGACCCCGAGAGGCCGGAGCGGAAGGTCAAGATCGGGACCGGGCTCCCGGCCGGCTTGAGAGAGAAGATTATCCAGGTACTTGTCCTTTTTAGTGTTGTCTTCGCGTGGGGACCGGAGGACATGCCTGGCCTTGACCGAAGCATCGCTGTCCATCGGCTGGCGGTCAATCCAACGGCGAAGCCCGTCCAGCAGAAAAGAAAACACCTCTCAACCGAGAGGAGGGAAATCGTGAAGAAGGAGGTCAACATGCTCCTGAGTATCAAGCATATCCGGGAGGTCTTGTACCCGGTCTGGCTGGCAAACGTGGTCCTGGCCCCGAAGCCGCCAACCTGGAGGATGTGTGTTGATTACACCGATCTCAACAAGGCATGTCCGATGGATCCATTCCCATTGCCTAACATCGACCAACTAGTCGATGGGACGGCCAGATGTGAGCTCCTTAGCTTCATGGATGCTTTTCGAGGATACCATCAGATTTTCATGCATGAAGACGATGCGGAGAAGACCTCGTTCGTCACCCCAGAGGGGATTTTTTGTTATCTTGTCATGGCCTTCGGGCTGATGAACTCTGGGGCGACGTACACGAGGATGGTGGCCAAGGTATTCCGGAAGGTGCTCGGAAGGAACATGGAGGCGTATGTTGACGACATGATCGTCAAGAGCACTCGGGCGTCCGATCATGCAGATGATTTGGCAGAGATCTTCGGGATCATGAAGGCAGTCCGTCTGCGCCTGAACCCGGAGAAATGTACCTTTGCCGTCCAAGGAGGCAAGTTCCTGGGGTACATGGTCACATAGAGGGGGATTGAGCCAAATCCTGAGAAGGTAAGGGCAATACTTGACATGGAACCCCCGAGGTCGGTGAAAGAAGTCCAGATTCTCACCGGCCGGCTAGCAGCCCTTGGACGCTTCATGTCCAAGTCCGCCGAGAAGTCCCTACCTTTCTTCCAGGTCCTAACGAAACAAAATGGTTTCGTCTGGAATGATGAGTGTCAACGAGACTTTGACGACCTGAAGAAGTACCTCCTCTCTGAGCCTTTACTCAGCAAGCCGGAGAGGGGGGAGGAGTTAATCCTTTATCTTGGGGTTTCCCAAGGCGCAATCAGTTCCGTGCTGGTTCGCGAGGAGGAAGGCGTTCAGCATGCCGTCTACTATGTGAGCAAGACCCTCCAGAATGCTGAGCTCCGGTACACCCCGCTCGAGAAGACAATATATGCCGCCTACAACACCGCCAAGAAGTTGACACACTACTTCCACTACACCAAAATAGACTTTTTGTAACGGTTTCTTTGTAACACTTATATTTGTGTTACATATAACATTTGTAGTTTGAATTATGCAACACTTAAAAATAAATGTTGCTTTAACTTCTGAAATTTAAGATTATGTAACATGTAGCAAAAAGCGTTACATATGGGCAAGTATTATGTAACATTTATCTTTAAATTCTTACAATAGCTAATACGAAGATAAATGAATAGTGTTAGTGTGAACCGTCAATTTTAGATCTGTACTCCATAATCCGTATGACCATATCGCTTAACCCCTGGTGAATTTTATTTGAAACCCTCCCCTCCTTTCTCTTCCCCATTTTTAAATCTCCTCTCTATCTCTTCTACGAAGTACATATTTTCTAGGGGTAATTTGAATTTGCACCCCATATTATTGTCTAAATTAGACTTTGCACCCCGTTTTTAAAAATCTTTGTTTTTGCACCCCAATCCTGTATGAAAAGACGAAAATATCCCTCCATTAACAATTTGTTTGCCTTCAACATAATCCTGATCGATGTCATTTTGGTCTTTTCATATGGGGTTGTGGTGCAAAAACAAAGATTTTTAAAGACGGGGTGCAAAGTCCAATTTAAACAATAATATGAGGTGCAAACTCAAATTACTCCTATTTTCTTCGGTTCCAACCATTCTTTTCCTTTGATTTCCTGGAAATGAATTGAGCACGAGGACGAATCAATTGACCACAAAGACGAAAATCAGAGGACCAAGAGGAGGAGAAATCTGCCGCTGCTGCTATGGAGCACTGAAGCACCGACTAAAGCCACTACTGCCGCTAATTAGCATCGATGAAACCATCGCCACCGCTAATTCGCGCCAGCAAAGCCACCACCGCTACTAATGAGTTCTATCGCTGCCGTCACCACCCTTTTCTACCTCTTTCGTTCAGCCACCACCACATAAGGTGTAATAACTCTTCCTTATGTTAATTTATTTGGTTTTTTAATCCAAATATTATGTTTAATTTTTGTTAGTGTTGTTTATTGGAGTAATATATTTCCTTATTCTGTGTACATGGCATTCATGATTGAATGTTTGCTTGAAGTATTGTATTCCATTTTCATGTCCATAAGGTGTTCGTTAAAATGCTACAATGAAGTATTAGCTGAATATTAAAAATTGATATATAACTGCTTACATTGTAATCACGAATTAAAATCTCAAGTATTAACTATGGATTTTAAAACTTGTGTGTGTGACTTTATTTTGTATAATTTGGTAAATCTTTGAGCTTTTAATTCTAATTTTGGAAAATGTAAAACTTATATGCTCCGTTATTCCCACTTGTACAAACTGCAGTCAACAACCAAATTGGAGCCAACAATCTAAAATGAAAATTGTTAGAGCTTTTAATATATATGAAAACAAATACTTTAGAAGTCAACTAAAATAATACTTTTAATATATGAAGAGTGAAATAACCACAAAAAAGTAAAACTAAATATGTTTTACAATACTGTAGCATGTTTATATTATGTTTGTAACCTACACACACAAATAATAAATGTTATTGTTAGTTATTTCAAATACGCTTGGAACATGGCATATGAAATCAGTATATTTAGCAGAAAAATGACATTACCTTTTTGGTTTAAATTGTAAAAATGTTTGCTGGCAGCTTCCTCTTTTGATTGAGGACATACCAATAGCAAACTGGTTATAAGAATAATGTTTTAATGGAAGAGACAAACACGTTTGAGGACCTACCACGTTTGAGCGGACAAGCTGGCGAAGCAGGTTTAATTAGTGACGGTGATTCTAATTTAATTTTTAAGCAGGTTTTCATTAGTTCTTGATTCGAAATTTGTTGCCTTCCCCCTCACGGTATCCTTTTTACTCGCTGATTAGTGATTACATTGTCATTTTCCCCTTCCCTGAGATGTGCTCCATAATTTCTAGCGTGGGCTCTAACTTATGAGGCACTTCCTCGATTCTTATTGTTAACTGTTTCTTGTCTATTTTTCTCTTCAAGGATGGTTCGAAAGATGTAAATGAAAGCAGTAAAAAATGAGCCGCAATCACTGCTCTCTACGGTAATATACCTTTTTTACAACTCAATTCCATTGAAGTTTGAATTGTAGTAAAACTTACTTAGATCAATTTCTAGACGCCTTAATTAGATTCTGTGTGAGAACATATTCTCTTTGCCATAAATGATGAAGAATAATATGGAGTATAACACAAATGGACCAGCACAATTTTTTTGTGTGTGATGTTGAAAGTGAAAGAAACAAAAAAATGATATGGTATGGGCTCCCGTAATGTCAATTTTTCTTTAAAAATATATGTTGGGGGTTCGCTGCTGGATTTTTTTATGTTTTAATCCAGTATCTTTATGTTTTATCAATAGCTTCTGTTGAAGTGTCAAATATTAATGATAAATGTGTGTATTATGCTTGTCTTGGTATTTTACTTTTTATGGTTGCTTCGTTTTTATTTATGTTTTGTACACTGAAATCTTAGAAAACATTTAGCTTCCAATTGAGTTTCTAATATTTTGAGTCATTTAATAATTCTTAGCAAGAATTTGTTAGTCTGTTCACGTTTATTGTTATTTGTAAAGTTATACTATGCTAACTTAAAAAGTATGGCCATATTATTTTGCTTCTCGCCTTTAGTTATAGCTCTAGCTGGTATTATGTTAATCATACACGGCAAACTAAATATTCCTCTTTGATATGGCATACAGGGGTATGAGTTTCATATTTCTAGTACCTTAACTACTTTTTGATGGGCTGCACTCTATACTTGACTTGGCCTTTTCTATCATCAAATAGTATATTCTAGCCAGATTTAGTTATTCCACTTGTAGAATATATAAGTATCTGCATCCAGTATTTTATATTTTCCAAGAGATAGAGTGCAAAGTACATATTTTTGTAATAGAGATCTTTCATAAACGTCTATAGGGAGCTAGTTAGCTATTATGTCAAAATATAATCACTCTTTTATACTTGCTTATGGAAACCTGATTTAAAGTAAATTGACGAATGATGAATGTAAAATCCTTTGACTAAGCAGAGTTGCCGGTTCTCCTTTGACTAATCGCATAATCCTTATCTTTCTCCTTCAAATCCAAAATAGCGTCCATTTGATTTGCACTTCAACTCTCCAAATTCTTCTCAGGTATTAGTTATCGATATTATCTCTATCCACAAGTGCATCGCTAACATCTCGCATATTATAAACACACACACACTTCTCTCTGAAACCCATGGTCACATTGGCAAAGCTAAATTACTCACCCATGGTCGCACACTCTACCTTAACTCTGTGTACCATGTCCCACACCTTAAGTATAATTTATTGTCTATTCAAAAATTGTGTGCGAATAATGGTTGTCAAGTGGTTTTTGATAAAAATTATTTTTCTGTCAAGGACAATCAAAAGGGGGATCTACTTCTTCAGGCTTCCAATAAAGACCATATTTACCCATTTTCTGCTTTTCAAGCCCAAGTAGTACCTGGCCCGGTTTGGCACAAACGTTTAGGGCATTGTGGTGACCGAGTTCTCTGCACTCTTAGGCGAAATAATTTTATTTCATGTTCTTCGTCTTTTCTTCACAATTGTGTTTCTTGTAAGTTGGGAAAATCCCACAGATTACCGTTTAAAGATGTTACTCATGACTCTACTTTTCTTTTGCAAATTATTCATTCGGATGTTTGGCAATCGCCTATTTTATCTAATCTAGGTTACAAGTATTATGTTTCCTTTATTGATGATTTTTTTCGTTATACTTGGATCTATCCCATGCGTAGAAAATCTGAAGTTTTTACTCATTTTTTAAATTTTCAAACTCTGGTTGAAAATCTTTTAAATCATAAAATTAAAATTTTTCAGAGTGATGGGGCTGGTGAATTTGACAATTCTATGTTTCACCAACATTTTTTAAAATCTGGAATTTTATTTAGAAAGTCTTGCCCGGACACTCCGGCTCAAAATGGTGTGGCAGAACGGAAACATAAACATCTATTTGAATTAACTAGGACTGTGTTGATAGATTCTTCTATTCCTGGGAATTTTTGGGTAGATTCCCTTTATACAGCTACGTTAATTATAAACCGCCTACCCACACCTATTTTGAATGGACTCACTCCTTACGAAAAACTTTTTAATAAAATTCCAGATTACAATTTTTTGCGTGTGTTTGATTGTTCATGTTTTTCTAATTTTATTGCTGCCTCACACAATAAACTCTCACCACGCTCCATACATTGTGTCTTTCTTGAGTATGCTCCTGGCTATAAAGGGTATCGATGTTTTTCACCGGGTTGTGTTAATGTCAGTAGGGATGTAATTTCTATGAAAATGATTTTCCATATTTGACTTTAGTCAACAAACCCATCCCACCGGCCTCCGGCCTCAGCTCCTCCTGGCTATCTACCTCGGTTCGACCTGACCATCAAAACACCCCTGCTTTGCCGTCATCACCAACAACCCATACCACCCCATTATCTCCTTCGGCCAGTCCAGTTTTACCACCGTCATCCCCACCTGCTTCCCAACACTAACTCCTCCTCCCAGACCAGTCCAACACCAACTCATTCTCCCAGACCAGTCCCCCCAGTTCTCCTTCGCCCAACACCAACTCATTCTTCCAGACCAGCCCCCTAGTTCTCATTCGCCCGAGCCGTCCCCAATTCCTGTTCCCAGTCCGAGCTCCTTGTCCTTGACACCTACTGTTCCAAGACCCAACGTCCACCCTATGCAAACATGTGCTAAGACCGGCATTTTTAAACCAAAAACAATCTTTACGTTGAGCGTCTTTTCTCCCCCAGATGATCCCACTTGCTTCACACAGGCAAATAAAAATGTTGTTTGGCGAGCTGCCATGGCGGATGAATTTAATGCTTTAATTGCTAACAAAACATGGGATTGAGTGCCTTGGGACCATACAAAAAATGTGGTTGGTTGTAAGTGGATTTATAAGACAAAATATTTTTCTGATGGGTCTGTTGAGCGCCATAAAGCTCACCTTGTTGCTCAGGGTTTTAAACAACAGGCTGGTATTGATTTTACAGAAACTTTTAGTCCTGATGATAAACTTCGTCTTGTTCTATTTGTTGTTGTGTCATTTGGTTGGTCTGTTCGTCAACTTGATGTGAAAAATGCTTTCCTACATGGTTACCTGACTGAGGATGTTTATATGCATCAACCTCCGGGTTTTGTTCATCCATCCTTTCGTAACAATGTGTGTCGTCTCAGGAAATCACTTTATGGCCTTAAACAGACTCCTCGTGCATGGTTTCACAGATTTAGTGGTTTCTTACTCAGTCAGGGTTTTACTCAGAGTAAATCTGATTCCTCCATGTTCATATATCGCTCCCAGTCCCAGGTGGTGTACATTCTATTATATGTTGATGATATATTAATTACAGGGTCTTCTGTGTCTTTTGTTCAGTCTATTATTAACATCCTGTCTCTCCAATTTGCAATGAAAGATTTGGGGGACATTCATTATTTTTTGGGGATTCAGGCAAATCGCACGCCCAAGGGCCTATTTCTTTCTCAGGCTAAGTACATCTTTGATTATGTTGTGTCGTTTTCATCTCCATACTGTTAAGCCTGTACGTACACCACTTCCCTCTCGCACTACACTCTCTCTCACAGATGGGGAACTCTTAAGTGATGTTACTGAGTACCGTAGTATGGTGGGTGCTTTACATTACATATGATGTTCATCTGGTATCTCAGTTTATGCATTTACCACGCACCTCACATCTGTTAGCTGTCAAAAGAATTTACAGGTATTTGCAGGGCACTTCCACTCATGGACTATGGTTGCGTTCCGACAAGCAGATCTCTGTTAATGTAGCATATTCTGATGCTGATTGGGCAGGCTGTCCGGACAGTTCTCGCTCAACCACTGGTTATGCCGTATTTTTGGGGAACAATTTGATTTCTTGGCGCTCAAAGAAGCAACCCACAGTGTCAAAATCCTCCACCGAAGCTGAGTACCGAGCTATAGCACATACTGTCCAAGATACCATTTTTATTCGCTCTTTACTCGCAGATATGGGCATCTTTATCTCTAAACCAGTTCAGCTGCATTGTGATAACGTCTCTGCTTCTTACCTGGCTGTGAATCCCATTCCGCATGATCACAGCAAACATATTAAAATTGATTATCATTTTGTTCGTGAGCGCGTGGCACATGGTGATCTTCAAGTGAAATACATTCCAACCCAGTTTCAGCTAGCAGATATTTTTACTAAAAATTTATCTAGTCAACGTTTTGAATTTTTACGTTCCAATCTGCGCGTTATTTCCCCTGCACAGATTGAGGGGATGTAATAATGTAAGTCTAAGGACTTCTATGTAAACACTTAAACTCTTGGTTTTAGTATAAATACATCATCAAGGCTCCCTAAGGGGCAAGCCATTATTTCCCTAAAATTATATTTTCGTATAGATCTATGCATTTTTCTAAATGGGTGGAATTGGGTTTGAATTTTCTAAAGGTATGTTCCCCAAATTAATCAAGTTGTGATTAACACTTTGGTTTATGGATGTAGATTTGTGGATCCTCCCATTACAATTGTACTCTAACAAAATACCGAATTTAAACGTTCTTTAATAGATACATGGAAAACTCAAATAGTAAGCAATGTCTCTTCTAGACAAAGCCTTTCTCTTGTGGTGGGAGTTTTATTAATCGGAGGTCTGCAGATAACTAGAAAGAATTAACACTTGCCAGTGATAGTGAATGGAGAACGTCTCACCCAAAGGTCTCAAATGATGCTCAGAAGTCAGGAAGTTAAAGAATGACGGGGATGACTCGGACCATCATGTTAAACTTGCTGGAAGAAATGTTCAGTTTTATCACAATTTACAAATGAAGATAGCTGGAACCAGAAGATCGTTTAAGCAAAAAAAGGAAGGCAAATCATTGCACCCCTACGGCCCTACACTTTGATCTTTCTCACTTAGTCACTTTTGATGTTGATGAGCTTAAGCACAACAATCTGGGATATCATAGCAATTCCTATTTCCTACCTTCTTCCTTCAAAGCGAGCAAGAAATGACAAAATGGCGGTGATCGACAAACTAGTGGGAGCTAACAAGCCGGAGCTGTCAAAGAAGATTGCATCAATGGTAGACACCAAAGCTTCTCCGACCCATAAATAAACATTTATGGAATTGGCTTTCTACTTTAATTTATGTGATCTTAAATTATTTGTTTTTTACTTTTATTAAAATTCAAATGTATGTATATTGTCATAGTGCAAATGTAAATGTGATTGAGGGTTTGGATGACACCTCACAAAAACTCTTGCAAGAAGGGTAGGTGAAATAAATGCATTTTTTTGCATATGTATATAATTAGCTGATGGAGTTTGACCGAGTGGTGAAACTTGATATGGCTAAGGAGTTTGACCGAGTAGCTTGGGGTTTCTTGGATGTTATCCTTCAGACTTTTGGGTTTGCAGAACGTTTTAGGAGGCTAATAATGGGTAATTTGCAATCTACCTACATTTCTATATTCCTTAATGGCTCTTCCTATGGTTTTTTCAAACCTTATAGAGGAGTTAAGCAAGGAGATCCCCTTTCTCCTATTCTGTTTATTATAATGTCAGAGGCCTTTTCGAAGGGTTACAACTACTTGGTTACTAAGGGGGATATTGGCTGCTATAACATGGGGAGGGGTTTAAACATCACTCATCTTGCCTTTGCGGATGACCTGTTGATATTTCTAAATGGGGCAGCAAAATCTATCCGTAATCTCAACAAGTTCATCCACACTTATCAACAAGCAACTGGACAACTTATTAACAAGGATAAAAGTTGTTTTGTGGCAGGTAAACACACTTCAGCAGGTCGAATTGACCAGGGTTACAACCACTGGTCGAAGACTTTGAGGAGCCCCCTCCGAAGAAGAACCACATCCACCTCATTGTGGGGGGCAACACTGGGGGACTCAACCACCCAGAAGAAGAAATGGGCCCAATCCCTTTACATTGGGGAGGTGTCCCACGCTCCCCCCAGCCGAAGAAGCAGCGACCGGAGGCGATCACCTTCACCGACAAGGATCTGCCTCCAGGCCCGCATCACACAGGGACGCCCTCGTCATCTGATGTGTGAGATAGGTAACTCTATCATTCACCGCACTTACATAAATACGGGGAGCTCCGTCAATGTCATGTACCTTGACATGTTCAGCCAGCTGAAGTTGAACAAGGCCCTGCTCAAGCCGATACGGACACCGTTGTCCGGCTTCACCGGGGACTCTATCGACGCCGAAGGCACGATAGTCCTCCCCGTGGAGGTCGGTGATGGCTCCCATCGCGCCAAAATTGACATGGAATTCATGGTGGTCAACCTCGAGTGCGCCCACAACCTGATCTGGGGACGACCGGCACTAGAGGACCTGGAGGCCATCATCTCCATGAAGCACCTGTGCCTGAAGTTCCCTACCAGCGGCAGTATCGGCTACGCCAGGGGGAACCAAAGGATAGCGAGAGCATGCTAGCTTAAGTTGTCAAAGACGGCCGCAGGCACCGAGCAAAGGGTAGACACTATCACCGCCACCGTCGCTAAGGACGAGGAGAGGCCACATGCTGAGCCAACCGAAGAGGTCGAGGAGGTTCCCCTAGACACTTCTCGGCCAGAGCGAGTTCTGAAAATTGAGAGGCAACTCCCCCGGGACCAACGCGACGACATCCTCCAAGTCCTACGGTCATATGCAATCATTTTTGCGTGGGGTCCGGACGACAAGCCAGGCATCAGCCGAAAGGTGATCACTCACCGGCTGTCAGTCGATCTTGCCTCCACGCTAGTCAAGCAGAAGCGGCGCTACCTTTCGGCCGACAGACGGGACTTCGTCAAGGGCGGGGTCACCATGCTCCTCTCAATCAGCCACATCAAGGAGGTGAAGTACCCAACCTGGCTGGCCAACGTCGTCCTCGCCCAGAAGTCGTCGACATTCAGAATGTGCGTTGACTACACTGACCTGAACAAGACGTGCCCTATGGACCCGTTCCCTCTCCCCAACATTGATCAATTGGTGGACGAGACGGCGGGGTGTGAGCTGATGTCGTTCCTGGACGCCTTCAGGGGGTACCACCAGATCTTAATGCACGAAGATGACGTCAAGAAGACGACCTTCATGACCCCGGAGGGAATTTTCTGCTACCTCGTTATGGCCTTTGGGCTCAAAAATTCAGGCACCACATACACCAGGATGGTAGCCAAAATCTTCAGAGCAGTCCTCGGCCGGACGATGGAGGCATACGTCGACGACATGATCGTCAAGAGCAAGCAATCTACCACTCATGCCGACGACCTCCGGGAAATTTTTGAAATCACGAAGAAGTTCCAGCTACACCTGAACCCCAAGAAGTGCACCTTCGACGTCTAGGGAGGCAAGTTCCTCGGCTACATGGTCAGCCGAAGGGGCAATGAAATAAATCCGGAGAAGATCCAAGCCATAGTTAACATGGAGCCGCCACGAAATGTGAAGGAGGTACAACGACTGACGGGAAGCCTTGCGGCCCTGAACCGTTTCCTCTCGAAATCAGCTGAAAGGTCTCTCCCTTTTTTCCAAATCATGTGCAAAGCAAACAGTTTCAAGTGGACGACTGAGTGCCAGCAAGCATTTGAAGAGCTGAAGAGCTCCTTCCCAAGTTCTGATATCTCAGCAGTGAGTGTGAGTAGGCGTGCATACATCTCAGCTATGCACTCTTTGGGTAGAAGTTTACAGTCTTCAAACTTCTTCATGGCAATGGTCAGTTTGTTGTCTTTTTCCTGCTCATCACCAGCTCCTATCAGGGTGAGTGTATCCCAGATTTCCTTGGCAGAGGTGCACTTCTTGATTCTTGTGAAGTATTTGTCATCTATGGACTTGTAGAGAATGTCCTTAGCAATGTTATCAAGGTTGTACTTCCTCCTTTCTTCATTGGACCACTCATGTCGCAGTTTGGTGATCATCTGAGGTAGACCACCACCAGCAATGTATTCAGGATTGATCTTAGTAAACTCCGTGAAAGGACCAGCATCAAGGACTTCCCACATTTCATCATGGAGCGCGCAGAGGTGAGCTTTCATGCGAATCCTCCAGTCATCAAACTTTGTCACTGAGAACATAAGATTCTTTGAAAGAGTGTTATCCATAATATGAGATTAAAGAGGCTAAAACAAGTGGATCTCTTGTTTAGTAAGTAACCTAAAAGATTACAAGAACAAGGAGGCTCTGATACCACTTGTTGGTCCCGTTTGTAATGGGAACAGTCTAGAGGGGGGATGAATAGACTGTTCAGGAATTTAAACTTTTCTCTAAGTCAAAGCTGACTTATCAGAGATGGTTGAAATCTGGTGACAGAGAAGGCTAAGTTCTGATGGCAGAACTAGACCTGGCAGCGAATTAGGTTCTGTCCGGGTAGCCTCAGACAACACTAAGGCAAATGCCTTTCTGATAACTCTTGAGGAAGATCTGCTGAACACAGAGTCCAACCTTTTGAGTTATGCAGTCAAGTTCTTAAGTGCAGAAATGAAATCAGTAAAGTAAGTGACACCGGAGATTTTTATAGTGGTTCAAGGAATAACTTGTTCCTCTAGTCCACTGTTCCACTAAGCTTGTAAAAACAACAGTTTACAACGCCTTAGTCCCTAGAACTTAAGAAGCTCTCCACGTCTTCTTCAAGCCTAGTTGCCACCCGGGATGCAGTCCTGCTTCCTGATGGCTGGTCTCGTTTCACTGAGTCTTTAGGAAGTATCACCACTTCACTTTACTCCAGTTAGTTTGAGACGTCCCTTCTTTTTCAAGAAGTGTTTGAATCAAGATCAGTTTTCTCCAACGTTGCTTCTTCACAAAGGATGTGTAGATGAAGTTTTCGAAGTGTTGAAGAACTGAGGAACTTTGCAACTTGCTAGTTGGATGAGGGATAAGAGAGTATATCTTCCAACTTGAGCTTTTCTTGTTAAGGTGAGTAAGTCTTTGATCTCAAGAAAGCTTGGAGGTAATTGATTTAGAGTAGAATGATCTTTGAGCAAGTTAGTCAGACAATTGTTGTAGCAAAGTTATCCTCGTAGTTCTTCAGAGTGTATCTTATATACTGGGAGCAGTCTTCCCGTTGGAGTGTAGAAGACAGCTTCATTAAATGCTTGTACTGTTAACTTGACCGGTTGGACCTTCGACTTGCTATTTTGGGGGCGCGAAGATACTCGCATGGTCAATCATCAGCTTTAAATATATCTTCGTACGTACAACATTAATTGAGCATTTAATGCGTGTACAGTACCATATTTCCGTTGAAAGGTTCGTAACCGTTAGGGGATTTCCCGTTAGTTTAACGACCGTTGGTAAGAGTCTTCGAGTTCTGCAAGGTGCGAGCTTGTCTGATGAGGTTTTCTGATCAGAACTCTGATGGCAGCTTCTGATGCCAACTCTGGTAT